CATATCTGTAGATAATTATAAAGTTAAATAAAGACTATTGAATTAAACTTGCATTGAATTTGCATTTTATAGAAAGGAAGTAAGAACTTTAGATATCTAGGCAACGCTAAATAGAACTCTTTATTAAGGTTTATATAGGATTTAGAATTGATCCCTTCTAAAGGTAAAGCTATATACATATTAGGCGTTCGCTGCAGTTTATGTAAGTTAAGAATCATTGCTAGCTAGCCAATAATGCAACAGAGTTACTGTACTTAATGGCACTATCTTCATAATAAAAAAAAAGTTTGGAATTTTGTATTGTATTTTGAAAAGAAACTAATTAGGCGGTATACACGGTGCGTCTGACACGCGAGTCAACTGTGTACGTGTTCAGAGTAATACCCTTTTGGGAAAAATCTCTAGTTCTGAAATGGTGCGCTTCTAGTACATTTAGACTAACTACTAGTTCGCGATAAATCTCTTTTGCATGCAAACAACTGGCGAATTTAACACGGCGATGTCATAGGAATTGGAAATTGTCCTCGCTGTATTTCCTTTTGTATAGTTCAAAACCAGTCCTAAATTCGACAGATGTAATCTACTTCGCTTTGCATCCCTCTTTCTACAATTCCCAAAATGTTAACATGTTAACACAACTTTTAGTTTTGTATTTCCAAACTATGACAAAGAATCTGCGAAGTGCAGACTGAAAGCGTATCTGAACGAAAAACCCGCTAAGCAAAAATATATTTAAAGGTCCACGAAAGAACACTCGCTTAAATGACGAAATACACGCAAAGCAACAACCCAAACTCGGCTATTTATGCGAGTTCAGCCAGGTTTCAAGTGAAAAAACTGCTCTATTGTGAATTGTTAATGGAAATGTGGAGAGGGAAATTTTTGTTTTCGTATATTCATGATTTATATTTTAAATAAGTATATAATTACACAAATACCTCGCATAATCACTAATTTATATTGTTTTTTGTGTCTAAATCCCGTTGAACTAATCACAACAGGGTTGCTTGAGTAGCTGAAAGGAAATTTTACCCGAGTTGAGCGTTCTTTTGCCGCACGATTACAAAAAAATGCAGCTTTAATTAAACAATCCACCCGCTTCGCTAGTTCCGAACTAGTTCAAGATTCGCCACATGCGATCTAGTTCGTTCTGCATCCCTTTTTCTATGGTCTCGAACCAATTCTAAATTCATCATTTTAGATATAGATTTCTAAAAATAAAATTGTTTTTTAAAAGTTCACATCTCGCTGCTTTCACATCTCGTTGCTTTTGAACCGGTGGCGATCTAGTTACTATCCGACTGGTTCGTTTTTAATTTAATTTACTTAAGCTTAACGCCAAACGGCTTTATGCTTAAAAACAATCACACATGAAAATTATAAAATAGATAAGAACAACAAAATAGATAAGAACAATATGTTTCGGGCTTTAAAATATGAATTTATGTAGAATCCGTTTTATCTACTATTTTTAAAGCAGGTTATTGATGTGTGGAGTTGATCCTTTACATTTTTCATGAACTAGCTGTTAAAGCTTAAACAGACGACAGCGTTTATCCGAACTAACTCGGACTTAATCCGGATCAACTGCAGTTAATTCCCGAGTTGATCCTAAGCCAAGAGTTTGTGTGAGCAAATACAATTTTAGGCAGCCAATGTCAGTTACGCGGTTTTGCAGAATGACGATACGCGGTTTTGTACTTTAAATGATGATATGCTATTTACATATATGCATATCGATGGTCCTCTAGAATAACGACACAACTCAAAAATATAACAAAAAATCCTTAATCCTGTTGAAGGCTCGTGTCACGAATCCTTGTATAATCCTGATCAAAGTAAGTAGCAAGGATTAGGCATGGATAAGACAAGGATTAGAGACATGAGCCTCTTAACAGGTGCATTGTAGAGTAACATCAATATCAATTAAAAGAAAAAATTCTGTAGAATTAAAAAAATAAATAATTTCTTGGTGCACCAGAACGAATAAGTGTTGAAAAAGTCCTTTTAAAACTTTATCCTTGAATATCCTTGGAAATTTGCAATATTTATATATTACACTATACAGCACTCGGCTGGGTATTGGACCAAACCAATTTTTGTTTAAGATTGAGTCATAGGTAAAAAAGTAATTTCTCCGTTTTTCGAAGTTAGCCTCCGATATCGAGATATGGGCCTTCGAAGTTCGAAATAGGGCCTTTGGTAAAAAATTATTTTTTATTATTATATGTAAATTACTAAAAAACTAAAAAATATAGACGTAGTCCGCCTATTGCTCTTATTTAAATGGTATACAACCTTATTTTGTGCAAACTTATATTACTGCTGCTAAAGGTCGGGACTTCGAAAAATTAAAAACCTTATATTTCAAACAACTTTGAACTGATTTTTAAAAAATTGGTATCGTTGTAAACATGATTAAACCCCCTTACGTAAAAATTTGAGAAAAAACATTTAAGAGGAAATAATACCTTTTTTTATAAAAAGAAAATATTTTACACCAAAAAAATTACTAACCGATTTAAAAAAAAATTATATCGTTGTAAACGCAATCAAACCTCCTTTCTTCCGATAAGCGTATTTGTGTACTTCGTATATAAAAATTTCAGAAAAAACATTTAAAATGAAAAAATACCGTTTTTTATAAAAAAAAATATTTTAAACAAAAAAATTACAAACCGATTTATAAAAAATTGGCATCGTTGTAAAGGCGATTAAACCCCTTTCTTTTGGTATGCATATTTGTATACTTCGTATATAAGAATTTGAGAAAAAACACTTGTTTTTGCTCTAATGTTACTACCTGTTTGATATGCCTTGCAAGAAAATAAAATTTGATGTTTTTGAGAAGATTGTGTCTTGATTAAAAAAAAAACGACGCCTTTTTTAATTTTCATCATTTCTAAAATTTTGAAATTTTGTAAGAGAGAGCATTAAAAACATTACTAAAACCATTTTGCTGCCGTTTTGCTCTTAAACCACACTTTGTTTAATAATTTTCAGAAGCTCGTAATTTAGTGAAAATATTTTTTCCAAAACAAAAAAATACGTGTATCTTTATTTGCCTTAAAAAAATCGTATTAAACTAGATTTAAGGCATATCAAAGAATACGGAAATAAGGGATAAGGTCACGTGAATTATTTTTCCTCAACAACCTGCGAGGAAAAAATACCACCACTTTC